ACTTTGAACTAGATCTTAAGCCCATGGATCTGTAGCAACAGCCCAAATCTGTTAGACATGGCCCAATTAACCAATCTGTATCTTAACCGCATTTGTTTTCCTTCTTTTCCTCTCCACAACAACACTCTCACGAGTCTCACCAGTAATTCACATTTCTTCTTTGAGTTTTTTAGCAGATTCCGATTATCCTCAAGCTCGCCTGTTTCGATTCAGAGCCCTAACTGTCCAATTAGAAACTAACGAGCAGCCGTCCTCCGCCACCAGTCGGAACCATAACTGCTATCGGACCATTGCAATTCTCTTGATCGCAGGACGATCATTGAACGAAAGAAGAGGTCATCGGGATTAGCCTTTCGATCTCACTTTTTTGAATTTCAGATCAACGATAACACTCTCACCAATAATTCACAATTCTTGCTTGAATTCTCCTGATTCCGATGATCTTCATCAATTTCAAGCTCGTCGGGTTTCAACCTCTTCACTTCCATTCCTAAGTTCAGTTCGCCGATCAATTTATTCTTCGTTACGGTTAGTTCTTGATCCTTTTTATCGAATTATGTTATTCTACATTTGTGTAATTTTTTTCTCTGATTTTCATTGGAATTTCTCTTGGAAAGGTGATTAAAAAAAAGAAAAATGCCTAATTGATTAAAAGATTGATCTTTTTGAATCCATCCTGTTAGCACAATTTAGCTCTGTGGATGGAAAGTAGCTTTATGTAGAAAGCATGAAATCTAGACTCAAAATAATCTTGTTAACTTAAAAAATGCAGGGGGCTTACATTTGTATTGTCATTGGAGCTACAGGAATGAATATTTTATGTCAACAGCTTTTTTTTTTTTTTTAAGTGAATTATTTGTGTTAGCATGTTGAATTTCTATTTCAGGAGATGTTATTGTGCCGCTTATCTGTTGGAGGTCCAGCCTGCTCTTCGAATAAAACAAACCTCGAATCTGTCTGGTTCGAGATGGTTGAAGGACTTTGCATGCAGTTAGTGTTTGGTGAGGCTTCAATGGCACCTACCATATGAATAAAAATAATATTTTTTTAATAAATGTATTATACAGAATGTCAAATCAAATATATATTAATTGTTATCCTTTAAAAAATAGTCATCTTCTCTCTATATTTCAATCTTGCTTTAAAATTATAATTTAAAAAATCTAACATAAAAATTTAAACTCTTAATTATTAAAATATCTAATAAATATCTGATAAAGATAAGAAGAACATGCATTAGTTTAAAAGAAAAATATGGTTTTTTCAATCAATTTTTATGTCAACTGGTGCAACTGTTCCTTCAACACGTAGAATTGATTTCATAAGGTTTAGAAGTTGGTGAATTAACAATATTGATTAAATCTTAACAACATGGATACTTGAATTTAGAAATTAATTATATATTTTAATATGATTAGTGGTAGGAATAAAAATCTTGCAGGGCCATGTTGATGCAACTCAACCCTAGCTTCCCAACCCAAGTGTAAAAGTCAAGAACCACACCCACATTCACCGGACTCGCCATGTTTTGAGCCGTCGACGCCACTTCCATCCTCCAAAAAAACATGAAAAGTCAAACAAGAGAGAACAAGGGTTTGGTAGCCATTTTCCTCCTTGCTTTTCTTGCTTCCACCCGAAATTGCACTGATATTTATAGGACAATATTGATGACTCTAATAATATTCAGAAATTAACTAATTCATGGATGGTGCATATATATATGATCAAATTGCATGCTACTTAATTAGTATTTGGGTATGGAAATTTCCATCCATCTTCACGTTCTCCAGGGAGAACACAATGAAAAACTCTGATTGCTTGGATATCAAATTTACCAAAATTGCAAATAATAAACAACAGAGAATTAGAAACTTGTTGGCTGGGGGTGTTAAAAAGTCTAAGCCAGATAAACCCTTTAACTGGTCAGTGGAATTTTGTTGCTTTCATTCTGTGCTAACTGGTGCAGCTTTTCCTTCAATTCAAACAAGGATTTTCATAAACTTGAAAAGTTGGTAAATAATCACTAAATTAAGACTGGCTTTGAGGAGGAGTTAACATGTTAAGGGGTCAATTCGTCCCCACCCCCAAGTACAACTAAATTAACTAGGTCAAGAAAATATTTGAGTCATTTTCTTGTTCCTCTCATATCTACACTCATACGTAACGTATGTTATTTCTTTTTTCTCTCGTTGTACTAAATTAGTCTCCCAAACCAATTAAATTCAATGTTTAAGCAGCTTGAATTATTATAATTACAATGAGTTGCATTGATTTCTTGAACTCAAAGGAATTACATTGTCAAGTCTTCAATTTTCAAAAACAAAATTCAAGGTCTTCAATGTATAGGGTAAGAGAAGAGTATTTGCTTGTAATAACATAATTTTATGTCCAATTCTTAAAAAGAAAAAGTATTTTACATATTATTTTCTCAAAATTTTTTAGAGAATTTATCTAAAATTTTATTTTTTTAATTAATATTTTTAAAAATTAACCGTTAAATTAAAAGTTATAGGTTAAACCTCCATTTTGGTTCCTAAACTATTGTACAGACCCCAATTTAGTCCTTGAACTTAAAAAATCCTTTATTTAGTCCTTAATATTCACCAATTTGGCCCCTAACTTGGTTCTTCCATTAAAAATCCTGTGAGATGTCCTATTAATTTACGGCAACATGATGACGTGTCAAAATGTTAAATACAAGTGGAAAGATAACATGACTGACATGAGTAAAAGTAATGATATGGCAAAAAAAATTGATATGACAAAAAAAAAACTTAAAAAATTTTTTCTCCTTCTCTTTCTCTTTCTTTTTCCCCTTGAGGTCTGTTAGGTGCTTTCAAACCCAGCAAACATTGAGTTCGAACCCAACACGCCTGGGTTCTAGCCGTTGGAACCCAATGGCCATTGGGTTCAAACGCCTAGGTTCCACCGGCTATTGGGTTCGAACCCAACAAATTTTTTGTTTTGCGTAAAAAAATAAAAAGATTTTCCATTTTTGTGGGTTTTGTTGTTTGATGATAATGAAGAATTGATTGATGAAGAGTGGAATTTCATTTCATTGAATTGATTGTTTGATTCAGAAAAATGCTAATGAAAGTTGACTCGGAGGAGGTAAAGAGAGAGAAAAAGAAGAATGAATGAAGAAGATATGAGAAAGAGGATGCTAGAGGAAGAAGAAGAGGGCAAAATTATAATTTTGATAAGTTCCACTGCTTTTTTTTTTGGTTTTAGGCAAGAATATAACATGTTAGGTTGCCATGTCACCATTTTCCATTTTTTACATTTGACATGTCATTAAGTTCCTCTGAGTTAACAGTGGATTTTTAATAGAAGGATTAAGTTGGAGCCAAATTAGTAAACGGTAGGGATTAAATCAGGGGTTTTTAAGTCTAGGAACAAAATCAAGGATGCATATAATAGTTCAGGGACCAAAATGAAGGTTTAACCAAAGTTATATCTTTATAAATTATAAATGTCAAAATTTTAAATTAATTTAATAAGTTTAACCAGTTCATTAATTATATAAAATTTAACATCATTGAATACATATCAGTAAAGAGTAATTAAAAGATTATAAGTATTAAATCAATAAGATTATAAGTATTAAATTAATATAAATATTAATATATATAATCTATATAAATAAAATTTTTAATT